TGCGATAACTTGCAATGGCGTAAGAGAAGAAGTTACGCTGAACAAGACGAATATAATCCAAATTGCCCAGGACTGCATCATACAAACAAAATCCAACATCCTGACGCCAAGAAGGATTGATTCAATCCCAGTGATAGAATCCTTCACGAAAACCATATCATACAACTTCACAAATTTCAAACTGACAACCAACAACTCCTATCTCATGGAGCCCATTGAATCCGTGATTAGGGATTCCCAGAACTTGGAACATCTTCAGACCATGGAAAACAACATTCAGGAAAAGCTCGACGAGAACCAATGGAGAAAGATTCATCATCATTCCATATCAATCAGTATCCTCACGTCAACAACCCTGATCATCATTATGATAACTTTGACCGCAGGGTACCGGTTCTGTCAAAGATGCCGAAGGAAGTCTGCTGACCATAGTGCTTCAACAACCACCACATCATCACCTCAGGAGGGTCAACTGATGGAACTAATGCCACTATAATCCAGCATCCAGGAGACCTAAATGAGGGAACTGATGACAAACCAGCAATCGAGAGGGGGCAGACTGTTTAATCGTCAATTAAACAAATTTAATATCTTATACTTTCCAAAATTTTATATTTAATATTTTTTTAATTTTTTATTATTTTAATTTTTTATATTTAAATAATTTAATATTTCGAAGCGGTGACCGACCCAAAGGTGCTGAGCCTACAAAATCAGTACCAATTAATCGGTCATCGCCGTTAAAACTGCATATTTGCACATTGTTTAAATTATCTAGTTGCTACGTCACATTAGAATTATGTATAAATAGGAATTAATTGAATAAAACTTCCTCTTTTTCAACCACAACCAGCCTATCATTCACATCTACCTAACTACCCTCAACATTCCCTAAACTCTACAAGAGTTTACAATTAATGTAGACGAATAAATAAATATTTGTTTCAAAAAACTAAAATTCCCGATATTTTCTGAACACACCTCCTATATCCTAAATATTTTAAAATCATCGCTTTTGAAATGTTGCAAAGGTAGTACAAGCGCAGTTAGGCCAACTTAACATAAAGTAATTCCAATAACTCATAATTATTATAATTAACATAATGTGTACACACATATTCATATATGAATATGTGTGTACACATTATGTTAATTTCTGTGAAAGACAACAGGCAATAAGTTAGACCACAACATAGTTAGCACTTTGCGTGGTGCACCTTCTTTATGTTCCCTTTATTTTTTCAAATAATCACTTTAAATATCGATGGTTATTTGACAAAACATCGTAAGCGACAATTTTGTTGAATTACTTTTTATTTTATCAAAGTGTCAGTTACGATAAGCTGCACATGTTAACATAATAGTTATTCCAATTTTGGAATCTAATATTGGTCAGTTTGAATATTTTTATTATTGTAAGCGCCCCTTCTTTTTAATTTGTTACCGACTTATAACGTAAGCGCCTATATGTTCCTGACAAATAATCGTAAGCAACTCCGAGACATGGCGTTTGCGATTTAACATTGTGTCGCTTACGATAATATTGTGCTCCCACCTTGATCTATCAAGGCGTTATTTCCGCTCTAAACAGTTTATTCGTGAGTATACCTGCATCGTGGTAATTGCTACCACAATCCACAATGTGGATTGTGATTGCTACCAAGTTTGAAAACAATTTTTTTTTATCAAAAGCTTATAATTCCTTTTTATCATTGCATTATTAATAGTTATCCTAATTATAATTGTTTTTACGTAGTGTGGTTCGTTAAAAGTGTTTGTTGTAGTAATTGTATGTTGTTATAACGTCAAATAATTTAACTCAAATTTATAACGGTAGATGATGACCAAAAAATTTCGAACGACCTGTCATTCAGTTGATTTCAAAATGTAAAACTGCCTTTATAACCACTAACCTTACTTTCTGAAAGTTGTCAGTTTGACGTATTTTATTGTTGATTGTGTTGTTTTAAGGTTAGATTCTCTGTCAACTTTTTGAAACTGCTTGTCATCTTGTCAAAAATGTCCCTAAAGGTTGGTTTGCACAGACATTAAGTTCGGGCTCCTTGGGTTAGATACTGGTTTGTGAATAAAATCGTTCGATTTTTTCAAAGAAAGCTAGATTTTCATTTTCAAACATTGTTTGGCAAAATATCGTTGGTGATATAAATTAATTTTTTTGTAATTATTTTTTATTTAATAATAAAAGTAAAAAAATAAATGTCGCTAACAATGTTTTGACAAAAGTAATCATCAAATCTATATCCCAAAAAGTAACGTAAATGTAACTTAAGCGACAAGACTATTTTTACATTTTCCTAAAGATGTTCTTATAAAATATCGTATGCCACAAAATTTAATGAAAATTTTAGATTGGATTCGATCTAACTTAAATATTTGAATTCTACATAAATAAAATAATGCCTCACCAGTTTTCAGATAAATAACTTTAAAAATAAAGCTCCCACACAAAAATAATCTCTCCTGTAAAATTAAGGTTTTGTCGCTTACGATGTTTTGTCAAATAACCATCGATATTACAACAAGAAATTTGCATCACAATAAAACACCAAGAGATTATTTATTCGGCTGAAAATGCTCAAGAACACTGCACTGCACCAATGCTTTTGTTGCCTTTTTTTGAAATATGAACGCTTATTTTTTTCATACAAAAAAATGCTTTTTAATGTTGTTTGGTTAATAGGTTTGTACAACTATTATATGTGCACGGAGAGAAATGTATAGTAAATTTTAGATATTAAAAAAATATAGTTAAATTTACTTTAACAAATTTTTAGGGTAAAAAGATTAAGATTAAGATATTCTTCAATACAATATTCACGGTGCTGTTCTGAGAGGTGATTTTTGGACTTTCTGTGAAACCTAATTTACTTTATAATTAATGCGTTTGTTTATAAATAATTTTTATAAAAATGATCTTTTTTCCGTAACAAAAGCAATTGTTGGACGAATAGGGATCTTTACTTTATTAAGACAAACCACTTTTTTGTTATGTTTACTAAAAAAATTTCTGAGTGTGCTTGTTACTAGTGAAATAAAAGGTAAATATAATTTTAGCAAAAAAACTGCAAAAGAACGTCTGACAACAATATCATATTGTTAGAATATAACTTATTATTTAATTCAAATACAGAAAGTTTTCAAACAATCCAACTTTAATGGAAGTGTCAGTTGTCACTTAATCCTGATGGCTAATTAGTTTAGACCTACGCATACACACCTTAAGAGGCATATTCTCACGGATCAAAAAAAAAATGTTTCTCGCTAAATACAGACACAAAAAAAATACCTGCCTTTTACATTGTCTTCGCAAATACATAATTGCATTTATCTATAGATAATAGAGAGATTAACTAAAACCATTAACTATTAACTGTCTTGCAGATTTTCAACAAAACAGCCTTTATTAACTTGAACGAAAGGTCCATTAGTCATTCTAAATTGTACATCGGTAACTTTGTACGCTTATCTTTTCAAATTAAACATGGTGTTACAGTAATTCACGATCGCTCACGTTACACTGGCCAGTAAATAAAATGTGTCACATAAATTATTTAAATCACGCCCCATTTTGCTTCGCAGCGCTTAACTATTTTGCGTGTGGCTATGGATTTTTTTTATTTTAATGTTTACACCTATGATACTGTTTGTAATTTATGCACATGTACATATGAAGCAGCCGTTTTTAGCTTGTTTGGCCATATTTTAATATGTAAATTATATAGATTTATTGGTGTTTAAGATTTCCTTTTTTTAAACTCGCCATAAAAAGTTAAGTAAGCTTACAAAATTTTATCTTAAACCGTCTTTTGCCAAACTATGTTTATTTAAGATTTCATCCTATTTTTGGCCCTAAAAACCGCTTGTTTTTCGGGATAAATACAGGGTGTATTTAGCTTCAGTCAACATTGTTAAATTTTAGATAAATACGAGGCGTGTTCAGAAAATATCGGGAATTTTCGTTTTTTGAAACAAATATTTATTTATTCGTCTACATTAATGTTGTCGCCTTCAAAATAGTCCCCATTGGATATTATGCACATGTGCCAGCTCTTCTTCCAATACTCGAAACACTTCTAAAACTCGATCTTTGGGATAGCCTTTAGTTCTTTCGGCGATGCGCTTTTAATGTCATCTATGCTTGCAAAACGACGGCCCTTTAAGGTTCTCTTTATTTTTGGGAATAGGAAAAAGTCAGACACAGGCATGTCTGGCGAATATAGAGGCTGGAGAATCATTACAGTATTGTTTTTGGCCAAAAATTTTGTTCAAAATTTAACAATTTTAGAACAAATTTTGCTGCCACGCGTTTCATACCCAAAACATTCAAAAAATTTTATGGAATGAGCCAATCGATATACCAACATCATCAGCGACTTCTCTGATAGTTTATAACCATTTCTTCCACTTTTTCCATGTTTTTATCGGTTGTTAATGTGCTTGTGCGTTCGGGGCGTTCGTCATCTTCAACGTCTTCACGGCCATCTTGGAAACTCTTATACCACTTGTAAACTCTTGTTTTACTTATAGCAGACTCACTATAGGCCTTTGTTAACATTTCACAGAATTTATTTCATTTTTTAAGCAAAATTGGATTCAAATTCTTTGATCCATTTCATTTAACGAACGAAAAATCGCCGAGCTCATAAAACACGTCTAACCTTAGCGGCTGCCACAGACAAATGAAAACAGCTTAAGTTTTTATCAAACTTCGGGGGCATGTATACCAACATAATAAAGACAATTTTATGACAACCGGACCCTCTGAACCCGCGAAATTTAACAATTACCGTTATTTTCTGAACACACCTCGTATATCTAAAATCTTCCTTACCTTTTATATTTTTAAAACTTAAAAATATTACCTGGTGGAGAGTTTCTTTAAATCATACTTTCGAACTTTTATTTAATTTAAAAATAAAAATACCTTGTTGCTTTCGCATTGTTATTTTGTTTGCTTACCAAAGATTTTTTATTTGCAGCTTGCCAAAAAATTCCCGATATAATTAGGAAGCCAAAAACAGCCTCCCAAATGGTAAGTTTAATGTGTTTTTTTTTAATATTTACATTTTAAGGGATATCATATTTCAATGGTATACAGATAGAAAATAATAAAAATATCTAAACAAAAACATGTCCATGGATTTATGTCTAATGTTAGCTTGGTTGCCTACTTCAAGATCTAGTTATCTAGTTATTGGCATCAGAAAAATAATAACTGTGAGTTAAAACCTACACTTAAAGAAAAAAATGGTTAAATTAACCATAATTATTAAAAATATGAAAAAATTAAAGTATGTAAATGTAACTGGAAAGGTTAAATAAAATATAATTTTTTTTTTAATTATTAGAAAAATACAAATTTAGTAATTTGAACACAATAAATTTTTTTACTTTTTTTTTATATTTTTGTATCCAAAATTTAATTAAAATCAAAAAATCTGATTTTAATAAAAAAAATGCAATTTAAAAAAAAATCATGATTTTTTTAAAAGCCTGGTTTTAACAACAAGCAAAAGTTTAATTAAATACGTCTGCACTACTTAAATACTTAAACAATACTTAACCATAATAGTTTTTTGTATTTCTTTTATTTCTTTAAAAACCTTTTTTGATGACATGCTTTTGGAATTAAGCCTTTTAAAATTTCGGCGTTTAAAAGCTTTATCTCATCGATATGGGTGATTCTACAAAAGTTGGACAACTTGATGTCATCAATCAATAGAGTAGCTATTTTAAAATTTTTTGTAAATATTTTAGTATATTACAAAAGATCCAGGTTTTTTAACTTGTCCACCCAATTTTAATGTATTTTTTCAAAAGCACGAAAAACATAATAAATATTCAAAACATCAGTGTCACAACTCCTGTATCAAATATTTGAGTGATTTTATTTTAAAATATATTCAATTTATCGTAAACTTTTCAATTTCACTACAAACTACAAAACATTAAATAAGGTATTTTTCATATTTTATCATAGATTCGAATAATAGCAATTTTTAAAAAATTGATAATCTTTGTACTCACTTTTACCCTTCAGTTCTGTGTCCAATGTTAAAATTCAAAATTCCTGCGAAATATTGAAGTTTAAACGTCAAATCCTCGTTTTAACTCAAGTGTTGGTAAAAAATTACCTACAGAGCCCGCCCTTTGCACGACAGTCATCTTAAAAACAATGCAAGCGGCGAAGTTATGGTGAATGCACCTATAGTGGTATAGTAAAAATTTCAGTACTGTGGTGAGTAGTTATTTTCTTATGTATATAAATTTCATTGTAATTTATATAAAGCTATATGTGATTTGTTGATAAGTAGCATCCACTAATACTTAATTCCGAATTATAATCTCAAATTGTTATCCCATTCATCAGTACCGTATCTAATAATGGAGATATCGGTATACTCAAAATCCACCAGCCGCCACTGATGTGTGGTATTATTTGATTTTAAGATATTTAATGTATAATATACTCAAAGTTGCAATAAATCTTATATTTTCCAATAAATTATGTATTTAATTAGTATACCCTGATATACTCGTCACGTTCCTTGCATTCAAGTTTAGAAAACACAGATATTTATTATACCTATTATCTATATTCTCATAACAAAATACTGTTTAATTTTCTCCGAAAACTATATAAACAAAAAGAGGTCAAAAGTTGCCCAACTTTTGTAGAATCACCCATATAATAAATTTCTTAACAATATTTATTCATTATACGTTTAGTGTTGATATACTGATTTAAATGAAATGGACTATTAAAATAATATTTTAAATTTGACATTCTGAATATATTAAAAATAATTTAAAAAACAACTGAAAACCTCTATATAATCTTAAAAATATTCAAAAATCATAAAATTTTCTGTTCTTTTTTTTTACTTGCATATAAAAATTTAAACAAAATCTTTTGGATTAAAGAAAGCGTTTATGGCGTATCCATTTCTCAAACAGGTACAATTTATCCCCGGTCCACTGTAATCCCATTCCCAAATTGTCAAGATAAACGGACATAAATCTGCTGCGAGCTGAGGAACACCCACGCTATTTTTTATATCATCCGCTTTGTCCACCGCCCGACAGATATAATCTCCATTATAACACTCTCGAATAGGAATGAGAGAATTGACCATCAGTTGTGGACATTTCAGACTTTTTTTTATCTAAATAAAAGTGTATCTGTATCAAAATTTGAACTCATCCTTTAGGAACACCCTGTATAATTTTTTTTTTAATTAAAACAATACAAAAAAAATTAGAGTATATGTTCATCTCACCATTCCGCAAGTAGATACTTTTTATTTAAGGATTGATTTATTCGTATTTGTAATTTGAATTAATACTTATTTGAAGGATATAGGGAGTTGAATGCAAGAACTAACCTATACTTATTTGGATATAATTTCAATGTTAGGTGCAAGGGTAAACTTATTTTTATTATCAAGAAAAATTATCATATTATTTTAAATGCAAGCACCCTCAAATAAAATATACACTATGCTTAATTTAAGAATAAGTATTTTTTAATACAGATGTTATAATTCATGGCGATGCAATATTTACTTTTGAATTAATTATAAGGTATCTTTATGTAAGTTAACCAATAATTGTTTTTTTAACTTTTGCTTGACTTTAAATAAAGGTTAGGATATAATGACCATGTTTATTTCAAAAGGTAAAGAGTGGATCATGCTATCTCTTTTTTTCTAAGACTGAAAAAGAAAAAGATAGGATAATCCACTTTTTACCTTTAAAAATAAACATAGTTATTATATCCTAACCTTTGTCGAGCAAAAGATAAAAGAAGAATAGACAATATTTCAAACAATTATTGCTCAACTAACTAAACAAAATTACATAACTTTTTTACAATGTTTCAAATACCTATCTACCTATATATAATGTATACTGCAATGAATTTTTCAAACCTTCAGACACGTTGATTTTGTTTGCGAGACGCACATTTTTTGGCTATATTGGCCTGTTTAACCAACATTTTTATTCGTACCTATAATCTAGAGGTAAAATATACATAATTGTTTTTATCTCCACGCGGTCTATAATTTAAACTTTATTTTTGTCAACATTCGATAAAGAAATACCTTGTTATGGCCTAGGCCGATAAAAAATTTTATGAGGCAAGTAATTAGTTCGATTTTTTCTCGCTAGGGGTATTGTTTTGACAAATTAATCCTTTTCTAAAAAATAACGTACTAAACTGGTTTAATTTATTTATAATAAGCACTAATTTGTTTGTTTTACTGTTAATGTTTAATATTTTTCATTAAATTATTGTAAAATTAAATCTGAATAATAAAACAAAAAGTGAGGTTAGGCAACCAATAAAACGCACGATTCTTTTTCTACGATTTAAATTATCTTTAAGTTTTAATTTGCTTTAAGTTTTCAGTGAAATTAAATGTTAAACACAGCTTAAACATTCCAAACAACCTATTTTAAAATAAAAATCCAAACAAAATCTTTTTAATTTAAGGATAGGTTAAAATTTAAAAGAAATTTGAGTATTGTTCAACAATTAGTATTTATACTTTTTTGTTTATTTTAATTTCTATTAATGTTTTACTGCCTTATTTGCAACAAAATGCTTTAAATTGATATGTGTTACAACCAGAAATACGAGTTTACAAAGTCATTACATTTTGTAGTTAATTAAACGTTTGGTTCGATACAAATGAAATTACCGTTAAAATTCGTGCAAGATAGAATAGCACGATTTCCCGATAAAAAACTCATTTTTAATGAATTACCAATTTAATTGGTATTTACGTTCAAGCAAGTAAAAATTGAATTATCCGCGTATACGCTATAGTAAGGGTAACAAAAATTTATTTAAATTACGAATTTAATGCAACGAAATTTAAATAACTTTCGTAAAAGGCCTCAGGGGAAAATTATGTTTAATTTCTGCCAATTTGCTTACGTAACATCTCCGATTCAGTAAACAGGTTGAGGACCTCTTAATTTGAACTTGCCTTAAGACAAACATCCCAAACATTACGTTTGTGATCTTAAAATACCGTTAATATTAATGGGTTTTTCCAATTTAATATAACTCGTATTCCAGTTAAATCTATTGTTCATATTTTTAATCATATGGTTTTAGCTTTTATGTTATTATAAATATTATGGTTTTATTATTATAATAATTTGCATAAATTAGATATATGTGTATGGATTTACATATTTAATCAATTATTCAAAAAACATGCATTAGAAGTTTTTTATATTTTTGGTGATACGCCACTGGTTACACACTTGTGTTATGTGAGTACATAGATACCAACCAACAAAGTAGCTGCCAGTTGTAAAAATTGTTACTAAAAATTTTTCTTGCAAGAAATAAATAAGTTCCGCGCAAGCAGAATTTAAATTGAAGTTTGCAAAAAAAAGATAACCGAAACATCGAACATGGAACTGACGGCACGGTACTGATGAATGGGACACAAATTTTGAGATTATAATTCGGAATTAAGTATTTTACTGATATTTTTTATTAAGAAAATAACAACTCACCATGGTGAGTACTGATATTTTGACTGGAACTATACATGCATTCACCACAACTTCGCCGCTTGCATTGTTTTTAAGCGGGCTCTGTAGGTAATTTTTTACCAACATTTGAGTTAAAATGAGGTAAGAGTGAGTAAAAAGATTATAAATTTTTTAAAAATTGCTATTATTCGAATCTATGATAAAATATGAAAAATAGATTATTTAATGTTTTATAGTTTGTAGTGAAATTGAAAAATTTAAGATAAATTGAATATATTTTAAAATAAAATCACTCAAATATTTGATTCAGGAGTTGTGACACGCCAAGGTACTGATTAAAATTGGGTGGAGAAGTTAAAAAAAAACCTGGATCTTTTGTAATATACTAAAATATTTACAAAAAATATACCTACTCTTCTAACTGATGACATCAAGTTGTCCAACTTTTGTAGAATAACCCTTATATTTTTATTAGGAAAATATATTTTCCTAATAAAAATATAAGGGTAGAGTATACGCTTCTGAATTGTCTTAACCCTGTATATTTTAAAACGTTTTTTTTCTCATAAAATAATTACTCAAAACTGCAGGTACGTTATTTCAGGGACTAATAATAATTCATTAATCAAAAGAGAGCATCATCAGTTATTTTTAAAATCTAAATTGGCTTAATAAAGCTTCGGAAAAATATCCCTAATTAGCGACTATAAATAATCGGTTAAACCAATAAAAAATTAATTAAATCCCATAAAATTTAACTGGGGCCCATCGAAACACTTATTGTGCGTCTCGAAATTAGGCAAGTGGGAGATTACAGGGAACTTTGAAGATACGGTAATGTTTTAATAGATAAAATTAACACTTTTAAGACCCTATGCAGAAACGTTGATTTATTTATATCCACTGAATTGAGTTTGAACCAATTTAGCAACAAAGCAAATTTTAAATGACAGTAGATTTGTAGGTTATCTTACATATACTTAAAAACGTGTTTATTATATTATAAGAGTAATACATTTATAATAGTACATTATGTATCAAGTTTGATAAACGCCATTTTATACACGAATTTAATTTAGGCACGAGCGAGCTTGCGAGCGAGTTCTTAAATTAATGAGTGTATAGAAAAGTTTATAAACGAGGTGCATACAAAACTTTTTCTACGGCAAATACTTATTATTATCTTAAAATGATTTAAATCAAAAATTTGTATATAGCGTCATCTATGAAACAACAGGGGAAACTGTCAAATGTCACATTTTTACATTTTATAAACACAATTATAAAGGTTATTAACTATTGTATGACATTTGACAACTGTCAACTATCTTAAAACTAACTTCAGCCCGTGACTAAAAACCTGTTGCTAACTTCAGCCCGTGACTAAAACGCTCTAAAGCCACAACTTGTCAATGTGTATTTAAAAGGTCACTTAGTGTCATGGAAACATGTTTTGAAAAATAAATGCAATGATGCCGAAGACATCAAGAGGGAAAAAAGACATTTAAAATTTGTGTCAAGAATATATTCTGGACATGCTATTTTTGAGTAAAGCTCCCTCCTTGTGATTAAAAAGTTTATTCTGAAGCCATAATTTATGTATATCAAGCATTAACTAACATATTATGTTATCCTATAGAGTTTGTTTCTTAATTTTGTTATATATAACAAAATAGCATGTCCAGAAAAATTGTGCTAGAAAATGGGTGGGAGGTGGAGTCTCAAAACTTTTTGTAGCATGCATATAGTTTACCCTTGCCTGCCCCCTGAACAAAATCCAGGCTACACTCTGGCTGGAAATGGGGCAAGAATCCCAGCTTTTCTAAAAGGTTAAATTAAACCCAATGGAAAAAATTCGGCATGCCTTATACACTTTGTTTTTTAAATAATTTGTATTGAAAAATATTTGTTCACAAATTTTAAAAACTTTTACTTTTATAAAGCATTTTTTAAAAATAAAAATATTGTTTCAGAGCATATTTTTAATTATTTGTTAAATAAATATTACAAATAATAAAAATTGAATTTGAACCAAAAATATAAAAACATAGTTTCATACACTGCCAGTTTTTGCTTTCTAGCCAAAACATTTGCTTTTACCTACAGGGTGTATTTTTTATTTTCCTATAAAATGCCTTTTAAACTTGTATTATTGGCAAAAATTGTTAATAATATTAATATTAATTGAATATACAAATCATAATTATGATTTGTATATTCAATTTGAAATACCCATGTTGCCCTTTTGTCCCTCCATTTTATTTTCTCCTATGTTTAATAGTATATTTATTGGCCCAAAAATAATAGAGTGTAAATTTCCTTTCAGAAAAAAAAAGTCCCCTCTACCTTGTTGAGCCCTTACCGAAAACCTACTGTTTCTATTTCTAAGAGCAAGCACATAATTTAAAAATTTAAAAGCAGGAAATAAGTTGGAACATGATCTAAAATTTAAAATTCTTCAAAAATATTTAAAAACTAAGACAAATATTTTTTAAACATAATTTTGGTTTTATTTTATAATCTTTATTACTTATTAAATGGTATTTTTTTAAATTATCTATAATATAGGTATTATATTAAAAATGTTTTTTAATTTAAAAAAATTAATCAATAAATATTTTCAACCAAGTTCAATGTTAGGGGTAATTATTTTCAATGAAACTAAAAAAAATTATAAATTAATTGATTTCAAGTATTCTGCTTTTTAATCAGACAAAAAAAACAGCAAATATATATAATTAACATTGTAGTAATTTTATCTTTAAAAAAATGTTATTTTTTTATTATATCTTTGTTATAGGTATGTTTACCTTCTGAATTTATTTTTTCATATATATTTACAAGCAAAAATACTGTCTATTTTTATTCTATGAATAAAAATATGTATTTTAAATCAGTCAACGACGGATATAAAATATATCAACCGATTTACATTTTATATGATTTTATTGGTCAAAAAACAAATCTAGTAACCATGACTTATATTAGCGAAATTATTTTCTATGGTTAATAGCAAATGTCACAAATGTCAAATAAATCTTGATGAAATTTTAATTGTTTTATGTCTAATTTAAAATGTCAATGTATAGAAATGGACTTTTTTATGAAAAATATAAACATTGAAAGATAGTTACAGAATTTATTTTATAAAACAACAGTTTTTTAAGAAAAATATTGAGTTGCCATGTCGTGCAAAAACCTATAGTAGTAAAGTAAAAATAAATAGGATGAACATTTTTGTAGCGACAAAACAAGTTAACAATTTGGGGGCAAGGGTTTATGTAGCAAATTTGCAATGAAAGATCCTCTTCAAATAGAGCATTGTTTGGTCGGTTAATACGTCTGAAAACATTTTAGGTCGACATTATTTCAAAGTAATGGACCGACATTTCGCCCACAATTATCGTTTGCGACCCCTTTGCGTTTAAACAGGGGCTTTACAAATGTTAACTCTTTCAATATTTAACTTTGCATGTCAAGAAAATCATCAACTTCATATGTTTTTATATGAAGGTGCTGCATTATAATAACCATTATAACAACGGGAATAATGAACTAATTATTCACGTTGCCTAACATCACTGATTAATTAATCAGTGAAAAAGTGAGGTTATAATAAATTGTGTTAGATACTTAATTACTTAATTGAAGTAGAAAAAGCATGGTGTTACACTCGAGATAATGCATTTTAATAATAGATTATTCCAAAAAAAACAGTAAAACAAAATAATTTTCTATACAATAATAATGAAATGTTCAATGCTACAATGTTTTATCGCTAAATAACCGTATACTATAGTATACTATTTAATTGAAAGCTAATTGTAAAGCGGAAAAATATTTAATATTGGGTCATAAAGACTTACTATTAACATTCTTCATTGTTGCGCGGTGGTTGGTAATTATGGTACAGAATTTCATTATGGACATTTTTACGATAAAACGATAAAATCAAAGTCAAATTATTGGCGTTCATTTAACAAAATATGTGTTTGGTATTATGCATAAATAAATAATAATGAAAACTTAAATATACAGTTAAAACCATTGTATAAAAGGATCAAATTATAATTAAATCATTATGCCGAATGTCAATAAATTTATTAAAAACATATTTAGGTTTTCATTCATGGATTTAACAGTTATTTTTAAGTACCTATTAGGTACAACCTATATGTTAAAAATTCTACTTAAGTCCATATTATTATATTTAATGGTATAAAAAATTAATAGGTACCTACGTGATTCTTTTACTGCCGATTTTACTGTTTGAGACATCCGTCAATATATATTTTTATATTGAGTCAGTAAATAATTTTGTTTAATTGATAATAATAATCCACCTAATGTTAAAATCAAATTTAAAAAAAATTCAAAATTCAAAATAAATTTTTTAATTATTTTTAATGTTATGTTTAAAAATAAATTCAAATGGTAAACAAATTTGTATTTCTAGTATTTTAAACCTAATCTTAGGTAAAACTTTTTGACATTTATGGATTTAAAAAAAGAAATGGCGTAGGTAAACCACATAGTTATTGGACACTTGGAATATTGTTTATTACATATTTATACCTACCTATATGCCTTTGTTTTAAAGATTTTGGGTTTTTTCTTATAAATACACTAACAGGCAAAATAATCGATCCACACAAATTTTCGATGAATTTCAATCGAAAATAACTTTTTTATTTGATGTCGGATTTAAACGAATATTAAAGAATATTGTAGATAATTTAATGGACAATCGCTCACATTTTAAAAAAATTACTAAAAAATAGACGTACTTTTATAATATACAGGTTTAAACAAAAAGATGTTTTTTACCATAAGTTTAAGACACTCTGTAGAGTGGCAAAACCGTATATTGTTCTAAATTAAGTTTTATTTATGAAGTCACATCTATTCTTAACAGTTTTGTTTTTGGTTCACTTCGATATATTTATTTTTGTGGAAAATATGGATTTAAAAAAAAAACATTGCAATTTCCAATATTTTTCTGTATGAAGAACTAAGGTTTATAGGCTATGGAGAATGACAGTGACAGTTTTGTTGAATCATCCCATACTTGGACACAGGCCCGGATTTACCATGCAGGCAGAGTAGGCAGCTGCCTAGGGCGGCAAGAATTGAAGGGCGGCAAATTTTTGGCGGAAACTTTAAAAACTTGTTATATTTGTGGGAATTGAATTTCCCGCCTATTTGGTTGGCAGGCTTACCAACATTATAAACTGCATATTTACCGTCATAGTACGATTTACATTTTAAGCCAAAATTAACATTTTCTTTTATTCCGAGCAGTTTAGTTTAACGACCTAAATGCAACGCTACGTTTTGTCATGAGTGACAACCGTAACAGATTCAGCGGCGCTGAGTACCGCAAGCGAGCGGCAGAAAAATCGAAGAAAAATGAAAAAGTCTTAGAGAAAACTCCAAGGTTGACTACATTCTTCAAAAAAACAGATTCCGGATCAGTTGAAAAAGAAACTTCGAGAGCTCATAATGATCTAGAAGGTATCGTTGTCATTTATTTATTCGGTTCATTCACCAGCTGACTTATAGATTGGCGTCTTATCAAAATGATCATAAAATTATCATTGACAGTTGAAAATCAATAAAATGTTCTATAAACTAACAGAGAAACAATTATTTCAGAAATTTTCACGGATATAATTAAAATTTTCACTTTTCGCTAAAGATGTTGTTTCTTTTTATTTGTGCAGATTCCAACTGTCAGCGTGAAAATGACTCTGACACCGTGTCCGATTCGCATACAGAAACGAAAGAACTTGAAATGACAGTCGACGAAGATATTTCACCTAACGAGAACGCGGAAAATATTCCTGGCAAAGAAATCTTACAAATAAATGATCCCGCTGATCCCGCAATATGGATTATCAATGACGAACTTCGTGACCATATAACTCGAAACTGTTTCGATCAGAACATCAAAAGGATGTATAATGACTGGACGCGCTACTTTTCGGCTTCTTTCTTTCACCTTTGAATTTAGTTGGAAAACATGCGGCAGAAAGTTGTCCGATGGCCGTAACGTATTTTGCAACGATCCAAAACGTGTACAATTTTTTTCTGCATCAACCCACCGCTGGGAAATCTTGACAAAACACTGTGCAAATTCTGAATCTGGACGCATAGTTACTGTAAAGTCACTTTTAGGCACTCGTTGGTCAGCTCAAGATGATGCCGTTCACGCTCTTGAACATCATTTCTCAGCAGTCATCTCAGCTTTAGAAGAAATGGAAGATGATATCGTTGAAAAATGTACGACGCGAAACGAAGCATTGGGCATTCGACAACAACTTGAATCATTAGAAACTGCGTTTATGCAACAGTTGTGGAGCTTCCTGTTATCTTACATGAATTCTGTGAGTAAAAAATTACAAAATGTCAAGACAACTATTGTTGAGGTATTTGAACTTTTAGAAGGGCTGAACAAAATGATTAGTGATACGCGTAAAGATTTTGACTCGTATGAAGAGAAAGCGCTCTCTATTTCCAAGAACAAAGAATATAAAACGGTTACTACGCGAAAAAAGACGAGAAAAATAAGATGCGATGAATCTAGAGATGGGGAAGTTGAACTTGTTGGTCGGGAAAACTTCAAAATAAATACCTTCAATGTCATTTTAGACAAAATTTTATCTGAATTACAAAAAAGAGAAAAAGCGTACAAAGTTCTTTATCATAAATTTTCAGTCATTACAGACATGCATTGTTTGAATGAAAAATCTGCTCAACTGATAAATTTCTACGATCAAGATATCGAAGCATCGTTCGCAAATGAAACGATTTTATTTAAAAGTTATTGCGTCAAAAAGAATATGGAAAAAAATTCTCCTATGGATCAAATTACTAAGAAGCAATAGCAATAATTTCTCTATAAAAAACAATCGCATACATAATGGTAATTGTTAAATGATGTTATATACTTCATGATTATAAGGATACTAAATAATAAAATAAAGTATTTGCTCTCAGAAAGGTGCATTTTATTTATTGAAAAACTTCGTACCAAACTTTCCACCATTGAAGAAGGTTCGAGGGGGGCGGCAATTTTCGCAACTGCCTAGGGGCGGCAAATTTCTAAATCCGGGCCTGCTTGGACATGTCATACACGGCTTTCAAAAGCTATCAAATTGTTTTTTGCAAATTAATGTTTAAATTTTAAGGTGTCTTCTTAATTTAAAAAATGGATATGTCTCCGACTGATGTTGCCAGAGCCATTAATTTAATCCAGGATGGACGGTCACAGTATTACGTGGCAAGTGTTTTAAACGTCACAAGAAGTAAAGTACAAAGGGCAACATCAGTCGGAGACATTTTTAAAAGTAAGAAGACACCCCAAAATTAACACATTAATTTACAAAAAACAATTTGATACCTTTTGAACATGTCCAAGTATGGGATGATTCAACAAAACTGTCACTGTCATCCTCCATAGGCTATGGATGGACCATAGCAACCTTAGTTCTTCAGGAAAAATATTGGAAATTGCAATGTTTTTTTAAAAAAATTCATATATTCCACAAAAATAAATATATCAAGGTGAACCAAAAGCAAAACTGTTAAAATTAGATATGACTTGATAATTAAAACTTAATTTAGAGATTGCTCTACGGTTTTGCCACTCTACAGAGTGTCTTAAACAGTTTAAGTTAAACTTATGGTAAAAAACATCTTTTTGATTAAACCTATATATTATAAACGTACGTGTATTTTTTAGTAATTTTTAAAATGTGAGCGATTCTCCATTAATGTATCTACAATATTCTTTAATATTTGTTTAAATCCGAAATCAAATAAAAAGTTATTTGCGATTGAAATTCATCGAAAATTTGTGTGGATCGATTATTTTGCCTGTGAGTGTATATAAAAAGGATAGTTTGTTTGTTTAAACTATATTTACGTTTACCTAAAAATAAAAATAATTGAATTTTTAATAATAGTTTTATAAAAATTTTCTAAAAAGTATAGTAATTTGACATTTTATATAGTAATTGGACACATTGACCATAGTTATTGGACATACAATTTTTATATAAACATAACAACTTTACATCAAGTAACATAAATTGTTAAATATTTTTTAAAGATAAATTGCTGTTTTAGATAATTTTTTTTATTTCGTTCTTGTAAATATCATATAGGTATATATTATAATTATATATTTCTTTCTCGGATTCCTCATCCCTTTTCTGGATTCTGAAGGTAACTACTAATTCCTTGGTCTGACTTCTGAAATAGTTTGCTGCAAATATCATTAAGTGTATATATATTAATTTTGTTGCCATTAGCTTTTTATTCTATCATGCACTGTATTTAAATCACTGTTATTCTGCAAGATGTCCTGTGACGAAGAAATCACTATATTACTTAATTTCTAAAAATGAATTAGTCAAAAATGTCATAGCGAAAAAGCAGCCACTAATAATTCTCGTCCACAGCAATTTGTATCCAGGACATTTAGCAGTCAATTCCTATGAAATATTATTCGCTGAATCTGAAAATGTCGTCAAGTTACCTATAAAAGAAACAGTTTTTGAAATTAGAGTATGATCTTGGACATTTTTACATTTTTTACCAACCAGTAATTGGACACTGGCCATTTTACTGTTTGTTTCTAAATTGAGGAGGATCAAAAGACTTAAACAATGACATATTAATTTAATTTTAGATAGAAAATGATTACGAAAACTAGCGGCCGGCCGCGGTCTAACAATAATATTAAAAGCCGTAAGGTGGGGACCCGGTACCTCAGGCTCAGAGTCGGTCTGCTTCAACTGTTCAACACGTCTACGTGATTTAGTCCTATGGGCACCGCGAACCACTATAGTGTATACTCGCTCATCGCAAACGTACCGTTGTCGCAACCAGCAGCACCCGCAAGAGATAACAAAACAACGTACGCAGCGAAGACATTCGAAGCGCGTGTCGTGCCAAAAACGCCAAAAAGGCAACAAGCCCGCTAGCTTCCATAAACAATTAAATCGTGACATTTATTTTTCGAGAGTGAGTTCAAGGTGTCGATATAGCTACATATATAGTTAGTTAGTTTATAAAGTGATACGTATTATTTGTGTGATTTTTTGTTCGTGTCAAGATATGGATACATTTTTTAGGTAATTTTTAGTACTTATAACAGGTGGGGGTATACATATTTCAAAGACAAAATTCTACTATAAATGTATTTGTTTAAAAAACAAAACATTTTGTTGAATTAACGAAAAACAGTTGTTAACTTTTTTTTATTACGTAAATTAATTTAAGTAAAAATGTAGTTATTGAAAATTAAAAGAAATAATTTTTATAACCATTTATGTAGGTGTTACAAAAATTGATTCTATCCTCCGTGAATCTGTTTTTGCTTTAAATTTTATGCAACGGATGGCGCTTTAATCATTTTAAATAAGCAAAAACCCCTGTTTACGACATTATAGATGAATGTGATTCCTGAAGGTCAGTTAGGATTTATATGCAGATGAGTGTGTTGCTGTTTTTTAATTCAAAAGTTTAAAGTCATTAATTTGCTATTTAAAAACCTATCCACCGTGAAGTGTAATGTCTCAGTAAGTAGATTTTTTTATATAAATATTTTGTGTATGTACAATTGTATGTTTTTAAAATATTAAGGTGTCAAAAGATACAATAACTTATTTCAAATATACAAAGGGATGTTTGAAAAAAACATACGAAATCCTAACCTCCGTGAAGCTCTAATAATATTCAAAATGTTTTTCTTAAAATTCTTGCATTACTTAGGGCAGAACCACTTATGTTATGTTATTACTAGACCTGGTGGCTTCCCAAAAACCCCATTCTAGACCAACAGTGAAACAACCAAAAATAAAAAGTAATCATTTTCACTTGGGGGACATCTCAATATATTCACCCACACACAATTAAATAACACACCATTCTGAAATTATTGAATTATAAAGAAATTCGGTACAATATTATTATCAGTACAACTACAACACTTACTGAAGTATTTCGTAACTTTAACCCACTTCACTGTATCCCCTAATTTCAGTTTGAAAACCAGCGCACACTCGTTAAATAGGTATAAGGAATAATAACAAATTTCTGGTAATATATTACAATCTGGACAGTTGTGTAAAATATTTTTCTTTGTTAAAATAATTTAATATGTTAAAATTTTACAAAATAAAATTAACAAACTGTACGTCTGGAAATTAAAATCGCCTAAAATTAATAAATAAATTGTATTTTTGTACAAATTAATATTTTATCTTGTTTTAAAAATCAATAGAACAAATATTTATTATATGGATTGTGAAAAGAGAATATATTCATTTTTCTGTGTACACTACGAACGAGCGCTTACCAGCACCATTCTGGGGGGGGCAGCTGCCCCCTGGCTCCCTTGGCTACGCCGTTCGGCGTCGAAATATTTTTTTCTAAAATAAATAAATAATATTCTATTAATTTCAGTTTATAAAAAAATGTGGAAGTTAATTAGAATTGTGCAATTTTTTTTTTGAAAATTTGATGTTTTTTATTGTTGTTGGTGCTTTGTTTTATTTTCTTTATGCAATATCCTTCTCCTGTTTTATTTTATTACTATTTTTATTATATATGTAAATGGTGAAGTGGGTCAAAAAAATGGTAAGATTATATTTTTTATTATTTTTTAACATACCGTTATCAAATAAAAAATAAATAAAAAGTAATTACAGTAATATATTAAAATGGGTAGTTCCTTAGGGTCCATAAAGAAGCACTTGAAACTTTTTTTTTTAATTCCAAAGACTAAAATAATTTATTATTACCTTTATCCTACCAAAAAGTACGCCACTGATCTTTAGGCTAATCTGGTTGCCTAATTTAATTTATTATTTTATGGTTGGTAACACCAGCGTTTCCAGATTCTGTCAAAAAAGTTGCCAGATTTTGTTTAAATTTAGCTTAATTACAAAAATGACAAAATTAACAATGCAAATTGTTAATTTGGCGTTTTTGTTAATTGTTAATTATGTCATTTTTGTAATAAAGGTAAATTCAAACAAAATCTGGCAACTATGACAGAATTTAGTGCATTTCTTTCAAATTTTAGGTTATGTGCTTAAATTGTAAATAACTTAACTAAGGGAAGTGCTTTTGGATATATTTACACAAATTGAATGTTTAAAGTTTAACCTGTCAACTTGTCCTAATTTCATCTGAGTAAACAGAAAGAAAAAAACCGATAAAAAAATTAATTTTGTGGTTATGGAGTTTTTAAAATAGGTACTAAATTTTCTAATCATTGCTTAAGCTAATAGCTGGATGAGTAAATAAATACAGAAGGGTATTAGAGCTTTAAGGGCATAAAACTTTTGTATTTATTCAGTTTTTATTTATTTTTTGCAAGAAATTTTTTTTACAACTGGCAACGTGCAGCTACTTTGTTGGTTGGTACCACAAAAAATATAAAAAACTTATAATGCATATTTTTTCTTTATCTTTGGAAAATATTCTTTTAAATATTTTTCTGTTACACTTTCTGTACAAATGTATTTCGTTTTTTAATATATTACATTAATTACATAACACCCTGTATCTGGATATTTTTTTTTATTCTGGATCTGCCTCTGATTTGTTTATTTTTATATATGTACCTACCAGCTTTCTGGGATTTTTTTGTTAATCTGGCAACACCGTTAAATAGTGCAACGTCGCAAAAAAGTATTCCTAAATTCTGGGAATTTTTGAAAAAAAATATAAAATCTCAAAAAATTAAACAGACAATTTTTTTTTATTTTTAACTGCTTAATCGAAAAACATAAAAAATTCAAAAATTCAGTGGCGTACATTTTTATGTCAAAATATTTGTTAAGGTGCCGCTAGGGAAGTCACTGGACTACAA